ATTGTAAGCAACATGGTTCCATTCATCTGAACAAGTAATTTAAATATAATTAAAATTAAATCATGGGATTATATGTAAATCATATATACCGTGTTTGCTTGCATAACAGTCCCACTTTGTTTTCCATTTTTTCATTGTGAAAGATTAGGTGCGCTATGTAGGAAAATCTACTGCACAAATATTGTGCACTTTTGAGGATTTCTTCTGCTTCAAAACAGGGGTGCAAATATTATGTGAGGGTCACAGTAGGGTACGAACTGCGCCAAATTTGATTGAAGATCCCCGTCCCCCTCTTATCTAATCCATGAACTGCATGACGTTTCCTGTCCCTTATCTCGTTACCAAGAAGATTGGGTGCTACAAAATGTCATTTATCGCCATTAATGGGACATTCTATTGAGACTGCATGTCTTTATTTTCGTTTATCAGTATTGTAAAAATTGTGCATGCAAAACAAATACAGTCAAAAGTCGTTAATCCGGACTCGTTGGGACTTCGGCGATTCCGGATTATCGATTTTTCCGGATTATAGATCATCAGTTTAAATCTCGTAAGATGGCAAGCAGAAATTCTAAAATTAAAAATATTAAACCGTAATTTATGAAATAAAGAACAATTATGATCTAAAGGGCATCAAAATTTACAGAAAAAAAAAAAAAAAAAAAAGCTTAATATTTATTTGTTTACTTTATTAAACATTTCTTTCAATGTAAGTTGTTTCGCTTTATGTGATGATACTTTCTCTTTAATTCTATAAACAGACATAATTTCTTGTTCATTTTACAAAGTTCCGCTGTTCAAGTCCCGTAATTGCTGTGCCGAGAATACTGACTAACTTGTCAATCCAAATTTTTTCGTTTTCCCTAACCTCTCTGTCACCTTCTTCATGTCTTTATCCATTTTTTGCAGCAATTCCACTTTTTGTTTGATGGACATCGAACATACTTTCGTTTTGTAGATCCTTTGGGAGCTCCAGCATTGGAAATTCTATTTGACATCATCGAAAGTTCAAGTTTACTTTTATAAAATTGCTCTTACAGTCTGCAAAAAATAATAAGCCGGACCCAATTCGAAGATTAAGGAACAACGCAATCATCAACTTTAACTGAAACAGATAATTCGATAATTTTAGTTTATACCGTCCGTTGTACACAAAACGCGCACGCGAAAACGTATTCTGCTCTTGCGCACACGCCTATGAGCAGTCGTAAAGGTCTTACGCGCACACGTAAACGCCCATGTGCATGTGTCAATGCGGTGCATGCGCAGAAAGTTTTTAGCTTTGAGGTCTGGATTATGGGTGTCCGAATTAACGACTTTTGACTGTATTACTTTAACCCTCTGGCTGATCATCCCGCGATTTCCACGAGCAACTCAAATGTAGCAAAATTTGCTCATCCCGCGGGCACGTGTTTTTCTTTCTTTATTGAGGAGCGCATCCCATATTTTCCCTGTTTAACCACTAAAATAAATTATATACAATATTAGCCGTTTAGTTTACGTTTTGGCCGACAGATATCGTTAGTTGTCCACTAAATTGTGGCATTAGTGCTCAAACTTCACTTTTTGCCGCTTTATTCTTACAGAAATGGCTGCTAGAAAACGTTCAGAGATTAACTTGATTATTTAATTAAATTATTGAATTGTTAGTTAGATTTATTGATTATATTAATAATTAGATTGATTATTAATTATATTTATTGGATTTGGTGCAAAGACTGTGAAGTTAGATTTTGCCTTGAAACCTATTTTGAACTCTATCATACTAAACTGCATTTCTAAGGTTGAACTCTATCATACTAAACTGCATTTCTAAGGTATTTTCCCCTCAGCATTTTATATTTTCTTATATTTTATACATTTTACTTTTTTATATTATGCAATAAATAGAAATTAACTGTAATTCGACTGAAATTTATTTAAAAAAAGATTTTTTTGGTGATAACATCTGAAATTGGTTTTTCTGGCAACTTAGTTTCTGATAATAAAAATCTATATAAAAAATATTCTCTAGAAAGAAAAAGGGCATTTTTCAATTCTCCAATATATATAGATTTAAAATATGGAAAAAAAAAAAAAAAAATTTGGGAAGCAATTTTGGTCCACAAATTGAGCAGTCAGAGGGTTAAAATCTGGCGTGTGCTAAAGTAAAAATTAATTTCTTTTACACACATTTTTAAGTTTTATGATGCTTAAAGGAATGATGAGCCAGATCTCTTTTATTCTCTGTAAGAATTAAAAACTTTCCAAGTTGTAGATTTTAGTCGCTGATATATATATATATATATATCAGTTTTGAAGTAAGTAAAATTGATAGATTAATGACATACACAAAACTGATACATAATCAAACCTATCAAATATCGGATTTGTAGCTCACCTTAAATAAGTTTTTCCTTGTCTATATAAATATTAACAAATCTTCTTAGATAGCAGAATGGTTTTAACTTTCAAATTTACCATTTTAGGTAATACAGTTCTAATTTAATTTAAAAAAATTCTTTTTATTAAATCTAAAAATTGGACTTTCTAAATTCTAAAGTCGTTCTAAATTCACACTAATATCATTGCAATATATTCCCGTATTAAGCTTTCCGTTTTTAGTCATTGAAGTTATTTTACGGTTATTTAACTTTCTTACAAATTCCATATTTTAATACTAATAGAAACGTTTAAATATTTATTCTGTTTTCCACCTGACTGTACTTTGGCATACGTACTTTGGACACATTTCGAATATGCACATTTAATTAATAAATGAATAATTATGAGCACCAGCAGAATTTTCATAATTAACAAAACAAAAAAAAAAAAAAAAAAAAAAAAAAAAAATTTTCAAACTCCCTTATATTCATATCCTGGGATTTTTCAGTTCACCTTTGTTACTAGTTTTACCTAGCTTTTCTAACTGTGTTTTTTCACTGAAATTTTATTGAAATATTAGCTTAACAAAGATGCTAAATCACGCTTCTAAGTATTTAATAGCATGTTATATTATTGACAATGATTTATGAATTGCTTTTACATGCTTATGCTACATTCCTAATATTTCATAATGGCATACAGGTAAGTTTAACTCATTCACCAAACATGTAAATCTCTAATTCAGCCCACTTTTGTTCTTACGTGTGCTGTATCATCTATTTTCTTTAATATATTGTTCAGTCTAATTTCAAAAGATTTTGTGGAAAAGTCACTAAACATTGGTAGTTCGACCCGAGTTTCTAGTCCCAGTGATCTCCCAGCTCTTTCTTTTTTTGTACTTATTTACTGCATAAAAAAGTAGCGTAAAAATTTCAGTTCATGAAGTAAAAATACTTTCTTAATTTATTCTTTAAAAGTATTGCAAAAATTTTTACCTTTACCTTAGCATATCTTTTTACAAATCCCTCTAATAAGAAAAAATTAGGAAAGAAATTAACTCAGTTTCGGTGATTGATACCTCGGTGCAAATTATATGTAACGTTTTTTCAAAAGCATAGAGTTTATATGGATATCAATAAATTAAGGATTATTTCTCCATCTAATTTTCTTAACATGTTTATTCCAGAATTTTCTTTTCACACTGTAGCGCTTAACTTTATGAGCTTTCTATAATCATTCAATTTCTCTAGCCATGGCAACTTTGCATACCTTCCGACAAGTAGTTATATTTTTAACCACTGTATTTTAATTCCTGTTAACTATCAGTATATTATTCACTTGTTTCACAAGTGCAACTTTTATTTTATATGCAAATACACGTAAAATAGCATTAAAACTTCAGTTATGCGGAGCTCCTGATCGATTGCTTGTTTTAGATTGAATGAAATTAAGCTGAATGTTACTGTTAATTAGCTGTTATTAATTTAATTATAGATTTCTAATTAATTATATGTTCAGATATTTCCACATATATTACTCAAACGTTTGCATCCCAATTTTTAATTTTTGGTTAAAAAAATAAATTTTTATTTATTGAGAGGCCTGATTGATTATATTAATTTGCAGTGTTGTTTATCTAATTCCTTTCTTCTAGATAAATTTTAGAAAAAACTTCTTAGCATAGTAATTCAAATTTATTTACAATTTATACGTCAGTATTCCAAATGCACAGTAATGTTGTTATAATAGATTTCATGCTAAGCTTTTTTTTAATTTAACTAAATTTAATTTCTGCAAACATTTAGATGATTACTTTAATTAACAAAAAATATTTTTAGCACACTTTAACACACTTTGCTATGGAACAATTTTTTGTGTGCTAGTGAACTCTATTAAATTTTCCAGTCTAGTTCAGACATCTTGACTATTATTGATGTAATTTATTAAAAATAATTTGTATGCTTTAATAATTAATTTGTATGCTTATAATTATTTAATTTATCATATTATTATAATAAATGAAAGATGTTTATAATGCTAATATGTATGTTTACCAATACCTTTCATTTTCTTTGTTAGCTCTAGCATTTATTACTGTTATTCAAGTAATTAGCCTGCTTGTTAGATATTTTTTATTTATTCTTGTGATATGTAATTCTATTTATTTATTTTTATTTTCCTCTTGGCTACAATTGGCTTTGAAAAGTTAAATTGTAACCCTGTAGGCAACAGGGGAAAGAAATTTTGATTGGCGCAGTTGGACTATAGCTGGACCCAGGGGGGGGGATTTTCATTAGCGCAGTTGGAGTACACCCAGGGCCACTATTACACGAGTATATTTATGTCTGTGTGTGTGCGTGTGTACAAAAAGTAAAAAAAGAGTAACCATTTAGGTGAGTTTTAGCATTGCACAGTCACGCTATAACAATCAAAACGGTTTTCATGCCTCAAAAACAAATATTATTCAAGAAAACTATTCGGACAAATGCTTCAATTGTTATTCTAAGAATTCATCAGACAAATCATTTGTAGTATAAACATTTTACAAACCATCTATAATGTTTAAACTGATTCCGGTTTCTTTATTTAATTCAATATACTTTACTTAATAAGAAAATACTAAAGTTTCAACTTACATCAAGATAAACTGACATCTCATGGAAGAATAATTGTTAAGGGACCAAAATAGGTCGTCAACACGTTCATCAATAGTTGGGATTCAAATCCAACGCTAAATTAACGCAACCCAAATCACTGATAAACACGACAGAGTACTCAACTCAAAACACAGGGAATTCGTTGTTGACAGGTTATCTTCACGAGAAAAAAGGAGAGGGAAAAATGGGAGGAGTTACGAGATTCTCTGGGTTGCATGAAGATCTACTAATAACTTTCTCGCCAAGTAATTTGGCGTCATCGGCTCATTCTCATTTCTGGAACTGTGGTTGAAGAGTGGTCTGTTTTTGATCCGTAAGTATGCTAAAATTCTACTATAAATTTTTAATACCTTGTTTTCCAAATTTACACATTTTGCTTGATTAATTTGAAGTTGTTTGTTTTTAGATGTGCGCAATGGCAAATTTCAGGTTATTCGTCAAATAACCAAGGTTTCTATTTCTCTGGTAAGTGTTTGCTATATATCTTATATTTATTATTAAATATTAAAAGTAATTTTTGCATGCGTATATTTTTTCATGCTCATTTTCTGTTTTATGTGCTGGTAGATTTCTGGCCGATTACCGTGTTTTTAGATAAATGCGCCATTTTCATTTAGGTCGTGTAGAGATTACTGTTTCCATTTTTTTTTAAGTAACCACGAAAATTCTAACACATGTAAAAGCTTTACTAGTAAACTTTTGATTGAGGATATTTCAAGTAAATGTGCCATTTTTACTGAATTTGTGTAGAAGTTGCTCTTCGTTATGCCTTTTTTGAGCCAATATGTTAATTAGTTGTATTCTTTTAATGTGTTGTTTTGCAGATTAATGCAGTTTATTTGACAGATGTGTAATGCTGTTTGTTGAAAAATGCATTAGAACCAATGATGGTAAGATCTTGGCCTAGCAAATTGGTAAAATATTACCTGCTCTTAATTACTGAATCATATTGTAGGATAAAATCTGCTGTTTATGTATGAAAATTTGTACTTTATCTCTGATTATGTGGTATATGCCCAGAATTTCATTATTAATGATCGATTCATTAAAATTACTATTTTTAATTGTCTACTTTGTTTTGTGTTGCTGCTGCTCATTCTGCATTTTTTTTTTTTTTTTTTTTTTTTTTTGAGTAGATATAAAAATTAATTCTTGTTTTTTTTTTTTTTTTCCCTCCAATGTCTCTTTTTATTGTGCTGGTAAATTTTTGAGAAAATTTCAAGTAAATGTGCCGTTTTTACTTAGTTTGCGTAAAAATTGTTCTTCTTTATGCCTCTTTTGAATAAATATGTCAATTCTTGTTTGTATTATTTAATATCTTGTTTTGCATATTAACACAGTTTATTTGACAGATTGAGATGCGATTTGTTGAGAATATTCATTAAAACTAATGCGGGTAAGATCTTGGCCTAACAGATTGGTAAAAGATTTTCTGATCTTAATTACTGAATTTTTATTATATTCTAGGATAAAATTTTGCCTTTTACGTGTGAAAATTTTTTATTTTATCTGATTATGTGCCAAATTTAATGATTCAAGAAAAATGCCATTTCTGTGTGTGTAGCTAGTTCGTTGTTGCTGTTCGTCATGCAGTTCTTTTGAATATGTATCAGTTTGAAAATTTATTCTTACATGTGTATTTTTCTCATCCATTTTTGCTGTGCACTTTTCCTGTGAATATTATTTTTATTTAGTCTATATAGAATTTGCTCTTTCTACCTTTTTTGAATAAGTATGATAATTAGTTCTTGTTTTGTGTTATTTTAATGCCCAACAATTCACTTTCGAATGTTTGTTAATTATAGAAGCTAATTTTACTTTTTGCTTGCAGTTTTTAACTCTGTACCTTTTATCCAGACATAAATAACATCTGCCTTTTCATTTCTAAACTTAAAATATCGCAGTCGGGAAAAGGTTTCAATTTGAAAGGTAGTGGCTTTTCTAATTGCAAGAATTTCTCTTCAGAATTATAATTAACATAGGCTGTGCATTCTCTGCTAAGTATTTCATTTCTCGAAAAGTCTGGTAGACCTTTTAAATCGCAATTTTAATCTTTAATTTTTTGGATATAATTAAGAACGAATTCATTTGGAAGCAATTTAAAAAATAAAGGCATTAAAATATTTCTGTATAAATCAGTATGGTACTTTTCTGTTTCGCCGGCGCAAATCTCGCCAAGCGCACTTTATTGGCGACAACACATAATACACATAAAAATTGTCAAAAAATGTTGGTTCTAAGATTTTTTTTTATTTTAAAGGCATAAACATTTTAATATCGTTTAAAGTTTTGTAAAAAGACAATAAATTTTTTTAAAAACGTTAATTTAAGAATTTACTATGCTTTCATGGTACAACATCCTGATTCGCAGGTTCGTATCACGTGAACCCAAGTGATCTCATTTTACATAATTCTTTGCTCAAACTACGCTACAAAAATCTAATTCTCTCAATCATTCAGTATTTATCTACAATTATTTCAAGTTACATTTTAATATGGAATACAAGTTTAAATGCAAGTATTATTTCAGTTCGTACGAAGCTTACTTAAGAATTATGTAAAACCCAGTACTTTTACTTCGCTAGTGCATTCTCATTAGAATTGATGAATTTAACCCTTGATTTTATCTTTTCTATATTTTCGCCTTCGCTGAGCTGTGTGATTGCATCCTAATTGACTTAAATACCGCGAATGGCATTAGGGCATAAAATTGAACTTTCTGGTAAAAATTCTATGTAATTGTATGCCAGTATTGAAGTATTGAAAGAAACAGTGGCGTAGCTAGGGTGGGGCAAGAGGGGACATCTGTCCCCGGGTGCAGCATCAAGGGGATGCCAAATTAATGCTACGAAATTTTTTAATGAATGTTTTGCATTCTTGACATATAGAAAAGGGCGTAAATTCTTCAGTTGTTCCCGGGCGCTGGAATCCTAGCTACGCCACTGGAAAGAAACAATCAATCTGATAAAAAAATGGCTGCGATATGTTTTGAAGATGAAGCGTAAAAAGTTACCAGCGGAGATATTCCGTTTGGCATCTGTTGTACCATTTTTGGCGAAGCATCTCCCAAAAGTCTTGCTATTTTTCAGATTTCAAGTTTGACTTCTGTGCCTTGTTTTGCAGGTTAACATGCTTTATTTGATTGCATAGAAGTTAACTTTTCGTAAAAAGGCCTTAATTATAGTATCATTATTGGTAAATTCAAGGCTTAAACAGATTGGTGAAATGTTTGACCTTAACTACTGAATTCTGCTAATTATATGGGATATGTCCATAATTTAAATTTTTTCCTAGTAAATCGATCAATTGGAACAAAATGTGAAATGAATTTATTAAAGAGTATGTCATTTGCTGTATTCATAAATTTCCAGCCATGTGTATCATTTAATAATTATTTGTTTTCAGGATTAAAAAAAAGTAGTAGCAGATGGTCCTACCAATTTGAATAAATATGGAATTTAGTTTTTAATAGTTTTATTTATTTCATGTAATTTATGATATTAAAGTATAAAGGCTATGCTCGTGGATTTTCTAGTAAAGGCAAGTTTCCAATCAATAGCAGTTTTTATTTGAGTATGGTGGTTGAGCTATTTATCCAAAAAAAAGCATTTTTTTTAGTATGTAAGACATAATACAAAATTATTTCTAAAAAAAATTGAATTGCAATTTTTTTAAGTCATTCTGGATTTTCTTTCATTTGATTAATTCGTTAAACTTGCTGTATTTGTATCTGTAAAAATTTTCCTATTGAACTTTACCTTTCGTTTTAGTGGCACAGGTGATAATAGATTTTTAACCCCAACCCCCCAAAAATGAAAATTTCCAAGTGTGGCTATAGAGAGTATGCTCAAGTTCATAAAATAACTTAGTTTTTTCTTTATCATCACCTTTCTGTTCGAGAAGCTTTTCTGCAGCATACAGTGACCACCCCTTTTCTATTATAAGAATACAGTCAAAAGTCTTTAATCTGGACGTCCATAATCCGAAATGATCTGGACCTCAAAGCTACAAACTTTCTGCGCATATGCGTTTATGCATGCGCGTTTAATGTATAACGGACGGTATAAGCTAAGCTAAAATTATCTAATTATCTATTTCAGTTAATGTTGCAGATTGCGTTGTTCCTTAATCTTCTATATTGGATCCGGCTTATTATTTTTTGTGGACTGTTAGAGCAATTTTATAAAAGTAAGCTTGAACTTTAGATTATGTCAAAAAGAATTTCCTGATTCTGGAGCTGCCAAAGGAATCTACAAAGCGAAAGCATGTTTTGATGTCCATCAAACAAAAAGTGGAATTGCTGCAAAAAATGGATAAAGGCATATCCTTTGTTTCTCTAACCATTCCAAAATCTGTTTATCAATTTTACACTGCTCTGCGGGGGGGGGGGGGGAGGAACATCAAGGCGCGCAATGAACTGGAAGTTGATCTGTCAGCACTATCCTTATATTCAGGGCAGATGTTTTTATTTTATTCGGCTTATAATTCCTTACTAAATGTAGTATTTCATCTCAATGTACTCCGTTTTTGATATGATTTAAATCAAATTTCTCGTCATTATATTACGGATACACATCAAATAGTTTTCTGATTGCAATTTTCTAATTTCGACTATGCGTAATGTATTCTTTACGCATGCGCGTTGAAAGAAATGTTTAATAAAGTAAACAAATAAATAATTTTTATTGTATATTTTAATACCCTTTAGATCATAATTGCTCTTTATTTCATAAATTAAGTTTTCATATTTTTAATTTTATGTTTTCTTCATGCCATCTTACCAGATTTAAATTGATGATCTGTAATCCGGAATCGCCGAAGTCCCGACGAGTCCGGATTAAAGACTTTTGAGTGTAGTAATTTTAGAAATTTATCTGAATGTCTCCTGTGGACTTTCATTTAATAGATAACTAAAGCCAGTATGGAAATTAGGACATTTTGATATTGAAGAATAATTCATTGCTGCCTACTCTCCTTTTTTTAATTTTTAGTCTTAACAAAGGAAAATGTTTCTCAGAAATAAATGGAATGTATTTAATTAATTAAACTTAAATTAGGCAAATTCCATTCCCTCAATCTCTAATGATTTTCAGAATTTTTAAATTCTTTTCATTTGGTCAGA